CCATTCTCCCCTCCCCGTATAGCCTCAACAGACTGTTGGGGCAAGTGCTATTCGCGAACAGCACTGATTGAAGGCCAGAACGGCACCACGAGGAGGTGGGTGGCCAGCACCACGCCCGGCCGCCTTTGTCTCCCCAGTGGCGATGTTCACTACGCACCGCTACACCAGGTACTCGGTTGAGAGTACATGCGGTGCAACTGCGACGAGGCCGACGTTGAGACAGGAGGGGAGGGGGGGGTTGAATTGGACAGGGGAGCGGGGGGGCACCATTCATTCCGTAGGGTCCCATGCCAACCACCACGTGCCACTTCTTCTCCTGTCGTACGGCTGATGTCCAGGCACAGCGACAGCTACAATCTCACATCCGAGTGGTCAAGCCAAGATAGCTGCGTCGGGAGCAGTGGAGTAGTGCATCATCATCGCCGTGATGCCTTCTTCGTATCTGTGGATCATGGCATTGCGTCGTTTTGCGTTCTGTTATGGCTGCAGAGTTTGGTGGTACATGTTGTTTACGTCGTTTATTGTGAAAATTCGGTCACAGTTCCTATGATCACTGTTTCATTGCTTTTATGGCTTTATTTTGGTGATTTTCGAAACGTTTTTGGTTTGGCCATGTTTGTTTGTTGTAGTACAGAGTTAGACTGATGGCCTTAATCTAAGTTGTCTTGTGGTTGTTGTTGTTTGACTTGAATCCCACTGGGATTTTTGCACACAGTGTTGGTGTACGGTGCTTTTTCTGCAATATTTTTCTGTCTTTTATTGGATTTCTGTTTGCACATAGTCACTTTAAGATGTTTTCTTGTTCATGTTTTTGTTTGTTGCGGTTGCACCCGATTCAAGAGCCGAATGGCTCACAGGGCTATATCGAATAAATGAAACTTGAAACTGTTCTGGATGACACAGTCGCCCACTGGACAGTTATCAATTTTCCATTTGTGCATCGGGTGTAGCCGCTGCCATGACCGTGTGCGTTGGATGCGATGTAGGGGTGGACCACGTTCAACTGGTGCAGGCGGACGGGACAACCGTGGGAGATGGAGGGCCTCCGTGACTCGTCGGAGATGGGTCACCGGGGCCGCGTTGTTGGTGGTAGGCCCCAGTTGTTGTGCTCTCTTCATCGCCATGCGGCGAAGACATCGTTTGACTTGCATCCCACTGGGATTTTTTGCACCCACCGTTGAAATACGGTGTTTTTTCCTGGAAGACTTTGCTGTTTTTTCCCCAGAATTTTTCTGTTGCGTGTAGTCACTTTAAGATGTTTCTTGTTCATGTTTTTGTTTTGTTGCGGTTGCACCCGAGCCAAGAGCCGCATGGCTCACAGGGTTATACCTAGTAAATGAAACTGAAACTAGCTCGCCCGGTATACAGGAGGGCTTGGGTTCGATCCCGACCATGCCGCCTGTATATTTGGAGTTTGCGTGTCTCTCTCCCTGTGGTCAAGTGGATTTGTCTCCAGGTCCTCCGGTATTTCCCTCCACATTTAGAAACACGAGCTTAAGAGTATTTCGCCACTGCGATGAAAAGCCACCTTCATTCAGCTATCTACCATTTGTGGCCAGGTCGCTTCTGAAAAAACAGAGCCATATAGCTCAGTGGGCCCTTACCTGGTAAAATAAAATAAAAACGTTGCTTAGTTTCATGTTTCCCTGTCTCGACCTCGCCTCTCTTCCTTCGTGCCCCCCGGCCCCAGCATCCTTCCCTTGCATTTGTCTCACCGCGGTGTTGAGGTTGCACACCGTTTGTCTCGCCGTGGTGTTGAGGTTGCACACCGTTTGTCTCGCCGCAGTGTTGAGGTTGCACACCGTTTGTCTCGCCGTGGTGTTGAGGTTGCACACCGTTTATCTCGCCGCAGTGTTGAGGTTGCACACCGTTTGTCTCACCGCGGTGTTGAGGTTGCACACCGTTTGTCTCGCCGCAGTGTTGAGGTTGCACACCGTTTGTCTCACCGCGGTGTCGAGGTTGCACACCGTTTGTCTCACCGCGGTGTCGAGGTTGCACACCGTTTGTCTCGCCGCGGTGTCGAGGTTGCACACCGTTTGTCTCGCCGCGGTGTCGAGGTTGCACACCGTTTGTCTCGCCGCGGTGTCGAGGTTGCACACCGTTTGTCTCGCCGCGGTGTCGAGGTTGCACACCGTTTGTCTCGCCGTGGTGTCGAGGTTGCACACCGTTTGTCTCGCCGCGGTGTCGAGGTTGCACACCGTTTGTCTCGCCGCGGTGTCGAGGTTGCACACCGTTTGTCTCGCCGCGGTGTCGAGGTTGCACACCGTTTGTCTCGCCGCGGTGTCGAGGTTGCACACCGTTTGTCTCGCCGCGGTGTTGAGGTTGCACACCATTTGTCTCGCCGCGGTGTCAAGGTTGCACACCGTTTGTCTCGCCGCGGTGTCGAGGTTGCACACCGTTTGTCTCGCCGCGGTGTCGAGGTTGCACACCGTTTGTCTCGCCGCGGTGTCGAGGTTGCACACCGTTTGTCTCGCCGCGGTGTCGAGGTTGCACACCGTTTGTCTCGCCGCGGTGTCGAGGTTGCACACCGTTTGTCTCACCGCGGTGTCGAGGTTGCACACCGTTTGTCTCGCCGCGGTGTCGAGGTTGCACACCGTTTGTCTCGCCGCGGTGTCGAGGTTGCACACCGTTTGTCTCGCCGCGGTGTCGAGGTTGCACACCGTTTGTCTCGCCGCGGTGTTGAGGTTGCACACCGTTTGTCTCGCCGCAGTGTCGAGGTTGCACACCATTTGTCTCGCCGCGGTGTTGAGGTTGCACACTGTTTGTCTCGCCGCGGTGTCAAGGTTGCACACCGTTTGTCTCGCCGCGGTGTTGAGGTTGCACACCGTTTGTCTCGCCGCAGTGTCGAGGTTGCACACCGTTTGTCTCACCGCGGTGTTGAGGTTGCACACCGTTTGTCTCGCCGCGGTGTTGAGGTTGCACAGTTTGTCTCGCCGCGGTGTTGAGGTTGCACACCGTTTGTCTCGCCGTGGTGTTGAGGTTGCACACCGTTTGTCTCACCGCGGTGTTGAGGTTGCACACCGTTTGTCTCGCCGTGGTGTTGAGGTTGCACACCGTTTGTCTCACCGCGGTGTTGAGGTTGCACACCGTTTGTCTCACCGCGGTGTCGAGGTTGCACACCGTTTGTCTCACCGCGGTGTTGAGGTTGCACACCGTTTGTCTCGCCACAGTGTTGAGGTTGCACACCGTTTGTCTCACCGCGGTGTCGAGGTTGCACACCGTTTGTCTCGCCGCGGTGTCGAGGTTGCACACCGCAAGGCCGCCTTGCAGAACTTTTGCCACCTGCCCCGATGCGGAGAGGAATGTCCGTCGCGTGATAGTCGCACCAAATGTTTAAAATTGTCAGAACTGAAATTGAATTAGCAGACTTCAGCACGGAACCTTTGCAGCCCGTCACTAGGTGAGCGGGCCGAGGCTATCAACTCGGCGAGTGAGAACGCGGCTGTCGAGATTCACACCCAAGGGATATTCTGCGGCACAAGCTTGGTGCTCTGACCACCCGGCCACCCAGCCACATCTCTAAAACTACAATCCTTGATACAGCTGCATTGTAGGAGTGACTGCCCTTTCACCTCATCAACTTAACGCAATGAACAAGTAAAGCTACATTGCATTGAATCATAAATACCACCCTATCTCTCGGGTCATAAGAAACCAAAAAATTACCGGTGAAAGCCGTACAATTTTAGATATTTCTCAACTCCGCACGAGGTGACCACAGTTGTTTTCTGGTCGAGGTCAAATGCCATAGGTCGTAGGTATAACAAACCAAATAATCGATTCATGCAAATCGTCAACAACACCGTGGCTTTAAAAGGGTAATGAACATATAATAGGCAACGTTTTGAGCATTGGCCCTTTCTTCGTGGCCGATTTTTCAGGGTACATCAATGGGTCAATCATCGCTCCCCCGTCAATACCACAGCTCCATGGTTCCCTTCGGCTCCTGAATGAGCCCTTGCTCGAGGAGCTATGGGGAGAATTATTCAAGTGCGGTGGCCGAGTTTGGCCTCGAGTAGTATGGCTCTTGTAGGGTACGGCAGAGGTCGCAATCGGGTACCCGATACCCATACCCTACCCGATACCCGGCTACCCGTACCCGGCCGGGTACGGGTACGGGTACCCGTTTGCGACCCTGGTGCGGCCGGGTACGGGTACGGGTAGGCTGTGAGTCGCTGGTGAGTAACCATTTGTCACTCTTTTCCCAACGTCTTGTCTCTTCTCACAATTCAAGTTCCTAGAATCAACACACCCGCGCCTGCAACATGGCTGCATCCCAGAGGTCGCAATCGGGTACCCGTACCCTACCCGATACCCGGCCGGGTACGGGTAGCCGGGTATCGGGTAGGGTACGGGTACCCGTTTGCGACCCTGGTGCGGCCGGATACGGGTACGGGTAAGGAATCAAAACCCGTTTGCGACCTCTGGGGTACGGTGGGTCCTCGTACAAGGCGGTCGTGGATTCGTTCCTGAAAAGTGCCGCGATAAGCGAGGAATTACTGCACGCATGTACAGGGCATTGCAAGGAATAAATACATAAACCAAAGCAAATTTGAATCACATTTGCACGTTAACAATCGGACAAAGAACTGAGATGAGGGTACTTTGCCACGTGCTGTATCGTTCTGTGTACTGTATCGTACTGCACAGCTCAAGAAAGTAGTTCTTGAAAGTAGTTCTTGAAAGTAGTTCTTGAGCCACTTTCGCGCTCCGAAACAGCGTCGTAACGGCGCACGCATTGTGCGCAAAGTGTTTTTCCGAATGGAAGAACCGCGTTACAGTGAAAACGCGTTACAGGCGAAAACGCGTTACAGCGAAAACGCGTTAAGCGAGGCCTTGCTTGTGCAGTTCATTTGCGGGGGCAAAGTGGGCTATTGGGTGACCGCGAGAATGGAGCATTCGTAGAGGGACAGCCGGGGTTGCTCGGGGAAGATGATCTACCTCCGACGGGCGAGACACTTCGGGACAGATAGACACGATCGATCAGTTCATCACAGGCACGCTCGAGGCATTTATTGCGCTCTCCAGACTATTTACAACTTACGCATTTGTAAACCCACGTGTGTGATAGGAGCGCCGTGAGAGCGAGGACATGTATAATTAATGTTTCAAAAGTATACGAGACACAAATAGGAATAATAATAAAAATAAACACGACGTAAAACGTTGACGCGACCGGATATGGAAAGTTACCCGACATGCAGCAGCAGCAGCAAGACGTTGACGGACCCCAACAAAATGTAATAAAAATAAATACATCACGATCTAAGAGAAATAAATAAATAAATGCGTCTGAATAGAAAATAGCCGAGCTAAAGACGATATGCTCTCAGAACGTGATTTTGGTTTATGGACGTAGCTGTTCCCTAAATGTGTTTTGTGACACGGAGGGTTACGCAGGAATGATTTGTCCGTCGGCCTCGCAATACGATAAAGAGTTGGGTACTTCAGATCTGAACAGGAGGTGGCTGTGGTAGTGGTGGCTGTGGTAGTGGTGGCTGTGGTAGTGGTGGTGGTGGCTGTGGTAGTGGTGGCTGTGGTAGTGGTGGTGGTGGCTGTAGTAGTGGTGGCTGTGGTAGTGGTGGCTGTGGTGGTGGTGGCTGTGGTGGTGGTGGCTGTGGTAGTGGTGGCTGTGGTAGTGGTGGCTGTGGTAGTGGTGGCTGTGGTAGTGGTGGCTGTGGTCGTGGTGGCTGTGGTCGTGGTGGCTGTGGTAGTGGTGGTGGTGGCTGTGGTAGTGGTGGCTGTGGTAGTGGTGGTGGTGGCTGTAGTAGTGGTGGCTGTGGTAGTGGTGGCTGTGGTGGTGGTGGCTGTGGTGGTGGTGGCTGTGGTAGTGGTGGCTGTGGTAGTGGTGGCTGTGGTAGTGGTGGCTGTGGTAGTGGTGGTGGTGGCTGTAGTAGTGGTGGCTGTGGTAGTGGTGGTGGCTGTGGTGGTGGTGGCTGTGGTGGTGGTGGCTGTGGTGGTGGTGGCTGTGGTAGTGGTGGCTGTGGTAGTGGTGGCTGTGGTAGTGGTGGCTGTGGTAGTGGTGGCTGTGGTCGTGGTGGCTGTGGTCGTGGTGGCTGTGGTAGTGGTGGCTGTGGTAGTGGTGAGGAACGGTGAGGAAGCGGTTAGCGCGCTACGCTACGAACTGTGGCGATCCCAAGTACGAATTCCACTCACGGCCAACACCAGTGACAATTATCTGAGCCGGTCCTGGGCCTCATCGAGGTCGACTCAACCCCAAATGAGTACCTGGTGCGATGTGTAAAACATCGCCACTGGGGAGACAAAGGCAGCCGGGCGTGGTGCTAGCCACCCACCGCCTCGTGTGCCGTGCCGGCCTTCATAGGTGCTCGCTAACAGCACTTGCCCTAACAGTCTGTTGAGGCTACATGGGGGAACTTTGTCTTTGGTGGAGACCACGGAGGAGTCAGAGGCAGTCCCAGTCGTGAGAGAAACGTGGAATTCTGTTGTCATGTTTGGATCGAATTCAACACGCTCTGGGTTTATTGACGATCCACCACCAAAGTCCGCTCGCCAAATATATGAATAGTTAATACAGCAGCTGCACGTGCGGTGAACCTGGCCAGTGAGAGTTCAATTCCCAGCCGTGGCTAACACGAGTTGAGAGTGGGATCTAAACCTGTGCTCTCAGCTTCACGAACCCGACAACTGACCAGCGTGGAGAAGTATGGTCAAAACACCCCCCCCCCCCGCCCCCAGCAACTCCCACCCATAACTGATAGCTTGGAGACGTCTTTATCCAGCAGTGGATTGACAAAGGAGGTAAATAGATTAATTAAATTACTGTGACTTATTGTTATTGACACGAACAGCCCTATTGAGCAGGGGTTCCCAACCCCCGGGCAGCGGACCGGTACCGGTCAGTGGCCTGTTAGGAACCGGGCCGCAAAGCAGCAGGAGGTGAGAGCGGTGAGTCCGTGTGTGTACACACTCCACACACCGCATAGTGGTGAGCGGTGAGTCCGTGTGTGTACACACTCTACACACCGCATAGTGGTGAGCGGTGAGTCCGCGTGTGTACACACTCTACACACCGCATAGTGGTGAGCGGTGAGTCCGCGTGTGTACACACTCTACACACCGCATCGTGGTGAGCCGTGAGCCCGTGTGTGTACACACTCTACACACCGCATCGTGGTGAGCGGTGAGTCCGTGTGTGTACACACTCTACACACCGCATCGTGGTTGAGCGGTGAGTCCGTGTGTGTACACACTCTACACACCGCATCGTGGTGAGCGGTGAGTCCGTGTGTGTACACACTCTACACACCGCATCGTGGTGAGCGGTGAGTCCATGTGTGTACACACTCTACACACCGCATCGTGGTGAGCGGTGAGTCCGTGTGTGTACACACTCTACACACCGCATCGTGGTGAGCGGTGAGTCCGCGCGTGTACACACTCTACACATCGCATCGTGGTGAGCCGTGAGTCCGCGCGTGTACACACTCTACACACCGCATAGTGGTGAGCGGTGTGTCTGCACGTGGCCCACCCCCAATATTTTATTTACCACTTCCGTCCGCGCCTCTTGCCCACACTGCACACTTGTCTCAGTCAGTGTTGGTAAGCCCACAAGCTGCTAACCCCTGGTAGCCACAATGAGTAAAAAACAAACGTCGCTGGAGAGGTTCTTTGAAAAGGGGGAAATACTCAATGATGACCCCCCCACGCTCCGTGAAAAAATTGTCTTCCACGAAACCGGTCCCTGGTGCCAAAAAGGTTAGGACCGCTGCTATTGAGGGTATCCCCCCCCCCCCCACACACAGCCATTTGGGTGGTAGGGGTCACCTTGGCGGCACGGGGGTCATCTCAGCTGGAGCTGTCCGGGGCTGAGCTCCGTTCGTGGGGCGGGGGGCGGCGCCTGGAAAATATTCCACGAGAATAACCGAGCCCTACTGGGGAGCAGAGATGCGGCAAACACAGAAGTGGAGTACAACGACAGCAACGGATAGTGCTGCCAATTGCCCTCTGCGGCACACAACGCGTGGCCAGCGCAGCAGCATAAAGCGCCCGTTTTTATTTACACAACAATAAAAAAAACAGAAGACTGGAGCCGTAGTGACACACGTACGGAATATATCTATAATCCACCCATCCATGACTACACGGCCGCCCACACACGTTTAATGGAAACGTGAACCTTTGTCGTAAACCATGACTTTGGGGGTGGGGGGGTGGGGGGGGAGCTCAAAGCTTCCGCTGCTTCTGTCACCGGAGCTCTTCAAAGCGAGACGCCCCCCCCCATCCCCTCCCCCCATCCCCGCCCCCCTCCTGCCCCCCCCCCCCTCCAATTGGCATCTCCCCCACGGGGGCCCAAGCAACGTCAAGGCCGTGACCCGCGGTATAAAAAAGAAAAGGGCAAGGCCCAGAAGCCAGGGGTGGATGCCGACGGTGGAGAGGGCGGGAATGGAAAGTTTGACGTCGTCGTCGGCGGGAGGATTGTGTTGTGTTGTTTCTCGGGAGGTAGAGTTTGTTGTTGGTTGGTTGTTGGTCGCGGAGAGGCAACGGCGGGCGAGAGGTGAGGCTGGTGCTTGGAGGGAATTACGCCCCCATTCTTTTTCCACTTGCACATCAGAGCCGAGCCATGGGGGATGGCGGGGGGGGGGGTCCTCATGGCATGGTACGCGGTGTTTTCCCACCGGTTATTTGCCGTGCCGAGCCAACACCAAACCGTGCTACGCCGGCCTCACGGGACACCTGAATTTCGCTTTGCGTTAAGCAGTGGGGGGTGGGGTGGGAGGCTTGCGAAGCCAGTGGCACAGTTCGGCTTGTGCAGTGGAAAAAAAGAAACCCAACCGCTTTGTCTCCTGCGGCAACTGCACAGCGGAAAGAGAAGCGTCGGAGGGGCCGGGCGGAATCGCTGGCGTGACCTGCGGCAGCACGCAACGTCGCGGCCCCCTCTCGGCAAGGAGCCCTCCCAGAGGTCACAACCGGGTACCCGATACCCGTACCCTACCCGATACCTGGCTACCCGTACCCGGCCGGGTACGGGTAGCCGGGTAGGCCGTGAGTCACTGGTGAGTAACCGTTTGTCACTCATTTCGGGTAGGGTACGGGTAGGGAACGGGTACCCGTACCCGGCCGGGTACGGGTACCCATTTGCGACCCTGGTGCGGCCGGGTACGGGTACGGGTAAGGAATCAAAACCCGTTTGCGACCTCTGAGCCCTCCTCGTGCGCGTCTCCAAGGCGGCCCATGTCCCAAAGCGGTGGCTGCTCCTGGTGGGCAGTTGGACTGGCGGGGTCACGTAAGGTCGGGGAGGCGAGGAGGGGGAGTAGGCGAATGAGAGGTGGGGGGGGGGGGATGAGCCGCCCCACCGGCCCCAACCGGTTCCAACCGCCCCCCCAACCCAACTGGCCCCAACTGGCGCCACCGGCCCCCCAAATGGCCCCAACCGGCCCCCAACGAGAAGCCACCACTGGTCCCCGACTACCTCAGCAGCCTCCCCCTGCCCCCAACAAAATTGTGTGCGCCCAACGCAGCCGTGAAGTTCTTTCCTCCCACCGCAAAGTCCCCCCCTCCTCCTCCTCGTCCTCCTGCCCCCCCCCCCGTCCTCCTGTGTTCTGCGATCTCCCGCTGTGCCGCCGGCTCCGGCGCGAGCCTGTGTTGACGCCCCGTGCTCCGCTCGGTTACAGACGGGTGACTGGAGTCAGCGTTGATGCTCGATCCGAGCCTACGCACGCACGCACACACACACGCGCGCAAAGACAAAGATCCCCCATGTAGCCTTCAACAGACTGTCGGGGCAAGTGTGGTTAGCGAGTAGGACCTATGAAGGCCAACACGGCACACGAGGGGGGTGGGTGGCCAGCACCACTCCCAGCCGCCTATATCTCCCCAGTGGCGATGTTGACACATCGGCACTGGGTACTCATTTGAGGCTGAGCCGACCTAGGGGAGGCCCAGGACAAGGTCATGTAATCGTCGCCGGTGTTGGTGGCCGTGAGCAGCTACGAAGGCCGGCACTGCGCACGCGGCGGTGTGTGATGAGCGCTGGGTCCGGCCGCCTTTGTCTCCCCAGTTGCGATGTTTACACATCACACCAGGTACTGATTTTAAGCCGAGTTGCCCTAGGGGAGGACCAAGACCGATTGACCCCTTCTCCCAAACATGGATCATTGCATTGGCTGTCAAAACCCACGTTTAAAGTGCAGGCTTCCCTCGTGTTAAGCCGGTTCGGTTTGTGCGACTTTGCGCTGTATGTGCAGCTTCCCAATTTATACACAAAATGCACTCCGCTGTGCGGTTTGAATTGACTCTGCATGCAGTGCACACACAACGTTGTGTGTGTAGTGTGTGTACTGTGTGTGTACTGTGTGTAAACTGTGTGTACTGTGTACGCACTGTGTGTAGTGTGTGTACTGTGTGTGTACTGTGTGCACTGTGTGTACTGTGTGTGTACTGTGTGCAGTGTGTGTACTATGTGTGTGTACTGTGTGCACTGTGTGTGTACTATGTGTGTGTACTGTGACTGTGTCTGTGTATACTGTGTGTGCACTGTGTGTGCACTGTGTACTGTGTGTGTGTGTACTGTGTGTGCACTGTGTGTGTACTGTGTGTGCACTGTGTGTAGTGTGTGTACTGTGTGTGCACTGTGTGTAGTGTGTGTACTGTGTGTGCACTGTGTGTAGCGTGTGTACTGTGTGTGTACTGTGCGTAGTGTGTATACTGTGTGTGTACTGTGTGTGCACTGTGTGTAGTGTGTGTGCACTGTGTGTAGTGTGTGTGTACTGTGTGTGTACTATGTGTGTACTGTGTACTGTGTGTAAACTGTGTGTGTACAGTGTGTGTACAGTGTGTGTACTGTGTGTGTACTGTGTGCGTGTACTGTGTGTGTACTGTGTGTGTACTGTGTGTGTACTGTGTGTGTGTACTGTGTGTGTACTGTGTGTGTGTACTGTGTGTGTACTGTGTGTGCACTCGTGCGTTTTCTCTTTGTGCGCCCCCTTCTTTTTTTGGAACGCATCTACTGCTACGACGACCGCACACAGCGAGGGAAAAACCTCTAAGGCAAATATCATCAACCGTCATCATCACCATTGTCACGCGTGACGCTTACCTTGCGCTCCTGCGCCTCTCAGCCCCGCGTCTCTCAGCCCCGCATCTCTCAGCCCCGCGTTTGTCTCCTGCAGGTCTCCAGGGTCCACGGATCTCTCCACAATGCGCAGGGGACTGGGCACACTCCCCGTCTGGGCACACACGGCACCACCAACGTCTCTACTTACGAACACTCGACTTACGGACTTTCAGAGATACGAACAAACCGCTCCGTATGTCCAGTTGCCTGCTCGGACCGAGAGTCGTAAGCTCAACCGCCGTGCAATAGATGATGGTGGTGGTGGCGCCTACATCTGCAGAACATTAAGAACCAGTGGCATCTACATCTACAGAAGATGCTACTACTTTTAAAGCCATTCCCCGTGTTTAGCGTACATGCAGTACAACTGTCTTGAATCGACGGGAGTAAAGTTGGACTTACGAACAGAACCTAACTCGTTCATACGTAAAGAAGTCTCTGTAATTGTAAACACATTCCTGCAGAGGGAGCTGGTAGGAACGTTGGGTTGCTCGGTCAATGGCCAGGGTCAACGGCGGCGTGGTGTATTCCGCAAATATGGCCGACTGTGAGGGCGGGCACAAGCCGGCGTGAGTAGGTTAAACGTTGCGTTTTATAAGGGCACCACGGGGTGACCAGCCCCTCCCCACCCAGCCCCACCTCTCCCACCCCCCACCCTCCCCACCCAGCCCCTCCCCACCTTCCCCACCCAGCCCCTCCCCACCTTCCCCACCCAGCCCCTCCCCACCATCCCCACCCTCCCCACCCAGCCCCTCCCCACCCTCCCCTCCCCACCCAACCCCACCCTCCCCTCCCCACCCAACCCCATCTTCCCCACCCAGCCCCTCCCTGCACGACGGACGGACGGACACAATAATCCCCTGTGGCCTGGTGTAACCAGGAGGTTCCTACCAGTATTAATAAATAATCTCTTTATAATAATTCTGTAATTAATAATATTGTCCTGGCTGGCTGCTGGCTGGGCTCCTCTCTACCCCAAGTGACCCCGTTGTTGGCGGTCATGGAGCTGTTACCACGGGAACTATCTGGGTAACTGGCCGCACGGGGACTTCCCGTTGTAACAAATGAAAATTGAATTTTGACTTAAAACTTTCGTGACTGCAGGAATTCATATTCTTGGTTCTTTCGGTAAAGTCACAGTGATAGAAAATAAAATTTAAATGTGGGTTTTTCCTTTTATTATTTTCAATTCATAATTTTATTTGTAATTTAAATCACATTTGATTATTTTTTCATTTTATTTTCTATCTACGTGACTTTACCGAAAGAACCAAGAAAATGAACATTGAGTTAAATTGAAATGGTGGAAGACGTAAAAAATACATAATAATAATAAACTTCGACACCCAAGAGGTGGCAGTAACGAATAGAGAAGAGTGACCAGCTCTCTCCTTGGACTTCCACTCTCCAGAGCGGCCTTTCGACCATCTGCGGTGTCAGCAAACAACTGCAGGCCTGCTCCTTCATCTCTCGCCGTGCGAAATGCCGTTCCAGCGAACTTCCGTTGCCCCGAGGCGCCCCCCCCCCGCACGCGACGCGAGTAATCGTACGCGACTGCTCGGCACAATCGGCGCGATGACGCAATGGCTTCGTCTTGGCATCGCGGCTACTGCGGTTGCGTCGCCGGCGAAGGGGAAAGTGGGCAACGTATCAACGAGCAAAGCCATCCGTCGGACACCGGTCCGCGCTAATCCCTCCTGGGAAGGGGGTCCTCAAAGCTTAGGGGACTCTTAACTGGGGATTAGAAGATTTCGACTTCTTAGCAAGAGGCAAACATGTAAAACAAGTCATTAAATTTGACGCGAGGAATTAAGGTCCTCCGCAAATAAAACACAACTGCAGGAGGTGTCTGCGTGCGCGTGTGCGCGCGTGTTATAATCATTGCAGATCATTACAGCCAGGGCATAACCTTCTCACCGAGGGGTGGCGTCGCGGTTAGCGCTACGCCGCGCTACGAACCCGGGAAGAGACCCCGAGTTCGATTCCCGCTCACGGCCACCAACACCCGGCGACGATTACATGACCTTGTCCTGGGCCTCCCCTAAGTTGGCTCAGCCTCAAATGAGTACCCGGTGCGGTGTGTCAACATCGCCACTGGGAGATAAAGGCGGCTGGGAGTGGTGCTGGCCACCCACCCCCCTCGTGTGCCGTGTTGGCCTTCATAGGTCCTACTCGCTAACCACACTTGCCCCAACAGTCTGTTCAAGGCTATATGGGGGATCTTTGTATCTGTTTTTAAATGGGGCACTGATGGACTGGACGAGGCAGCTGGTGAATTGTAGTGAAAATAATAATCATCATCTTTGCATGTATATATAAGTACTGAAGCAACTCAAAGCTGCCCACACATCACCGTCTCATCGAGGAATTGCGGAGTAACTTTTGGCAATTTGGCAAATTTGGAGCCATGACGCTCGTTTGGAACGACCTCAAGGGGATCTTTGACGACCGCCTTGAAGCAGACAGCGCTAGATGTTACGGTTAAATTCACCCGCGGTGATAACCAGGGCGGCCCGCTGGAGCCGAACCCATGAACCTCTGCAACAAGTGATGGAACGAACTATCGGTAGGCCATGTCACCTGCCCCGGTAGCCAGAGGCATAGTGAGACGCATACTGGGTGTGGTGCGACGGGCAGGGGATTGTTTTCTGGGCCATCGACAAGACTCGGGCAGACTGGAATGAAATTGAAAAGTACTGGGTCGTATGAAGTGTAAAGCATGGTGGTGGTGTGGTATGGCGTGTGGTGGTGGTGTGGTATGGCGTGTGGTGTGGTGTACGTGGCTGTGTGGCGGGGCGGCGATTAGCTCGACATCCACCGAGCACACCCTCACCTCGCCGTGCCACACCCTCACCCCGCCGTGCCACACCCTCACCCCGCCGTGCCACACCCTCACCCCGCCGTGCCACACCCTCACCCCGCCGTGCCACACCCTCACCCCGCCGTGCCACACCCTCACCTCGTCGTCGCGCTGCGGCCTCCTCTGCGGCTCCAGCGTCGCTCTGCGCCACTGCTCGAAGGTCAAGTAGGGCCCAGGCGCGGCGCGCGCCGCCGATCGGTCCCCGGCGCCGCCGTCCGACGGCAGGGTGGCGGCACGCCCGCCTCCCACGACGCCGCGCGGCTCCAGGCCCCGCCGCACCTCCTGATTGGCCAGCAGCGAGAGCCAATCGAACTCCTCGGCGCTCATCTTGGACTGCGGCACGTCGTGGCTCAGCGAGCGCGTCTGGAGCATCGCGGCCGCTCGCGGCGACTCCGAATCGGCGGCTTCCCGCGGCGGCACGTCCAGCGACGACGACGCCGCCAGCGGCTGACGGCGCAGGAACGGGCGCGCTCTGTCCGCGTCCGCCCGGCAGCGATGTCGCGTCGAGGATTTGTCATCGCTCGCGGCGGCGGCGGCGGCGCTCGCGGTAGCCGCAACGGCACTTGCGCAGCACCGCAGGCAGCTGCAGCCCTGCCCGACGAGGGGCCGGGGCGAACTGTAGGTCGGGTCGCGCGGCGAGTCGCGGTCACGCAGCGTCGCCCGCTCATCAGCCCCGTCGTCTCTCTCGCCACCGCCGCGCGAACGCTCGCCGGCTGCTCCGCCGCCACCATCGATGCCGTCGCCGACGAGGGCGTCGACGGAGGTCGCTGCGGCGTTGCCCCCGGCCGAAGCGTCGGGACGCGGGGAGGGGTGGCGGGGAGCGCCGGCGACGCAGCGCGAGCCCGACGACGACGAGGACGCGACGCTCCCGCGCGACGACGAGTCCAGGCTGCCGCTGCCGATGCCGCTCTCCAGCGAGCTGAGCTGCTGCGCCCGCGACAGCCGCGACGCGCCGGCGGCATCGTTCTGCGACCGCCCCCCGGCAGGATTTCCGGCGGCGCGGTCGCGGTCCGCGGCGGCGCACGGGCGGGCGGCGATCGCCCGGCGCGGCTCGCCGTACGACGACGACGACGACGAGGACGTCGTGGTGGTGGTGGAGATGCTGAGCGCGCTGCCCGCCGGCGGGAGGGACGCGTCGTCGCTGAGGCCGCTGGGGGTGGAGCGGCCCTCGCTCAGACTCGGCTGGGAGCTTAGCGGCGAGGACGAGGGCAGGCTGGAGGCTGCGGGACGACGTCGTCAGTCAGGTTGGCGGTGAGACAATCATCAGGCAGCGACGCTGTGAATGCGTGTACGCCGAGTGTGCAGTGTACGCGAGTGTGCAGTGTACGCGAGTGTGCGTGTGCAGTGTACGCGAGTGTGCAGTGTACGCCGAGTGTGCAGTGTACGCGAGTGTACGCGAGTGTGCGTGTGCAGTGTACGCGAGTGTGCAGTGTATGCGAGTGTGCGTGTGCAGTGTACGCGAGTGTGCAGTGTACGCGAGTGTACGTGAGTGTGCGTGATAACGATTTGGCTTCTCCTGATGATGATGATGATGACTATGATCATGATGATCTATTTGCAGTTGATGAGGATGGTGATGATATTATTGCTGCTGACGATGATTCCGCTGCTGCTTCTGATGACGATCATGCTGATGATGCTGATGACGATCATGCTGCTGCTGCTGCTGATGATGCTGCTGATGATGATGTCATCCCACACCTGGGCTGCCATCCCCACTGGCCAGGGACAGGAGGCTGAGTCTCATCTCCAGCTCCTGCGTCTCCTTGTTGACGCTGTCACTGCGACGCGACTCCCCTCCTCCTCCCAGGTCTACAACGGCAAGGGCCATGACAGAGTCAGCAACAGCAACGAGCAGCAGCAGCAGCAGCAACACATGCAGAAACAGCAGCAGTAGCAGCTGCACGTTGATGTATGATGTTGAACTTCTTTCGCACTGTACGCAGCCAAACGTGCTAATCGGAGTACACGCAGAAACAGCAGCAGCAGTACACAGCAGCAGCAGCGGCAACACCAATAAACAACAGCATCAGCGCTGAACAAAGCCGTATCAGAAATACACAACGGCTGCGACAACAATAAACAACAGCATCAGCGCTGAACATAGCCGTATCAGAAATACACAACAGCAGCAACACCAATAAACAACAGCATCAGCGCTGAACATAGCCGTATCAGAAATACACAACAGCTGCGACACCAATAGACAACAGCATCAGCGCTGAACATAGCCGTATCAGAAATACACAGCGGCGGCAGCGGCGGCGGCAGCAGCAGCATCAGCAGCATCATCAGCATCAGCAGCATCAGCAGCAGCGCCGTTGCCCGTGTCACTGGAGCGGCCCAGGCTGGTGGCGACTCCGCAAGCCAGCGCCACGTCGCTCGTCAGCTTTTCTCACTCCACTGCCGGACGAAGGCTTCCCGCCCACCATCCCTCGCAGCCCTGCGATGTCACGATCCTGCCCACCCACTGCCGTCCCCCCCACCCTACCGAAGCAGCCACAAACCAAATGATTTCATCGCTCCGTCTCTCGGCGGTGGCCGCATCCACTAGGGGACGTGTCCCAGCCCCTCTACCGCGTCCCAGCCCCCCCAAGCCTCGCGCTGCCCCCCCAAGCCCAACGCTGCCCCTCCAAGCCTCGTGGCGCACGCCGCCGCGTACCGGGCGTGCCGCTCGCTAGTTTTCTTGGCGGGGTCATCGCCATTGGCAGCAGGGAGCACCCCCAGGGGCTCAGCGGCCACTCAGCGGTGGACGTGGTGCTTGTGCCATGAGCTCAGGCGGAAGGGTCGGTGGTTGGTGGTGATGGATGACGAGCAGTGGATGTGGATGTGGTGAGGACGGGTTTGTGGTTTGTGGTTGGTGGTGGTTGGTGGTGGATGAGGTCAGGCGGAAGGGTCGGTGGTTGGTGGTGGGGGTGGTGGTGGTGGTGGGGGGGGCACTTGTGGGGAGTGGTGCCCGTGTAAGGGCAGCCACTGGGGTGCAGTAACCGGAGAGGAGAAGCTCAACTCGTTTGGCAAAAACACGGCAGTCGCCCGGCTCCGTGCAGGCAGCGGCAGGGCCCACTCGCTGCACCGGCGCCGCCAGTCTGAGCGCGGTGCGCGTGTGTGCGTGCTGCCCAAGTGGGGAGCGGTGGCACAGCGGTTAGCGTGCTGCGCTATGAACCCGCCAGGGATACGATTTTGATTCTAGCTCGTGGCCAACACCAGTGACGATAATTATCTGAACTCGTCCTGGGCTTCCTCGAGGTCGAATCAGCCGAAAACTTAGTAACTGGTGCGGAGACAAAGGCGGTCGGTCGGGCGTGGTGCTGGCCACCCACCCCCTCGTGTACCATGCCGGCCTTCATAGGTGCTCGCTAACAGCACTTGCCCAAATAGTCTGTTGAGGCTACATGGGGGATCTTTGTCTTTGGTGGAGGCCACGGAGGAGTCAGAGGCTGTCCCAGTCGCGAGAAACGTGGAATTCTGTTGTCATGTTTGGATCAAATTCAACACGCTCTGGGTTTATTGACGATCCAACACCCAGTCCGCTCGCCCAATATATTAACAGTTAATACAGCAGCTGCACGTGCGGTGAACCTGCCGAGTGAGAGTTAAATTCTCAGCCGTGGCTAACACGAGTTGAGAGTGGTATCCAAACCAGTGCCTGTGCTCTCAGCTGTGAGCAATACGAAGGCCGGCAAGGCTATATGGGGGATGTTTGTCTTTGTGCGCGTGTGCAGCACAGCGCACTGAGCTATGGGCCCGGCGACCCGAGTTCAATTCGCGGCGATTATCTGAACTGGTCAAGGGACCTCTGATAGGTGGACTCAGCCTCAACAGAGTACAGTACCTGGTGCGGTCTGTAAACATCGAGACACAGGCAGCCAGGCGTGGTGCTGGCCATCCAGCACCACGTGCTACTCGCCAACAGCACTTTCCCCAAGAGCCTGTTAAGGCTATATGGGGGATCTTTGTCTCTGTGCGCGTGTGAACGTGCGTGCGTGCGCTATGTGCACTGTGTGTGTGTGTTGCTGCGTACGCCAAGTGGGGCTTTCGTGCCATGCGTTTCTCAAATTCCTGCCGGCCGTGCCATGCCAGTTGCGGTGCCGTGGTTGTGTAACGGCCGTGTGGGTTTCGTGGTTCGCCGTGACGTGGCTTGGCACGGCCGCCTGTGTGTGGGCGGTGCGATTTGGCGCGACCCGGCGCAGCCTGGGGCGACGAGCCTGACCGTGCGGCCGCTTGTGCATCGGTGGCGTGGTTTGATGCGGCTGGTTGTGGAACGTTCCAGCGGTTTTTGTGGTTTGGTGCGATGCGGCGGCGCACGGCGGCATGGCATGGCACCGGCACCTCCGATTAGCGTGGCCGGCTACGTACGGTGCGAAAGAAGTTCAACGTGGCGTGGTTTGGTGCGGCACGGGGTTGGTGCGAGGCGCTGCCGCACCGTTTCGCCGTACCTGGCAGGGCAGGCTTGATGCCAAACGGGGCGTGCGACGGAGAGAGGCCCCGGGCCACGCAGTCGAACACAAAGTGCATCTGCTCGCCCTCGGCGCTCGACAGGAAGTACACGCCGGCCCCTACCAAGACAAAGATCCCCCGTGCAGCCTTGAACAGACTGTTGGTCACAGGTGCTGTTAGCGACGAGCGGCTGCTGAGAGCAACAACACCCGATGTTTACACACGGCACCAAAAGTCCTCCAGTCAACCAAGGGGAGGGAGGCCTGGTATCGGTTTAAACGCAACTTGCCACCGATGTGAGCCGTGGCTGGGAGTCGAACTCGGGCTGTACCACTGACCTTGCGCACAGGAGGTCACCGGGAGGACAACAATGATGTAGAAATGAAAATGTATTACATGGAGCATTGTGGGTAATTAGATAAACTTATTAACCAGCTTTCTATCCTCCTCTAGGCATCAAAACTAACATTTTGTGAAATCCATCAGACTTCCCAGGTAGCCCCTCCCACTGTCCAGGTAGCCCCTCCCACTGTCCAGGTAGCCCCGCCCACTGTCCAGGTAGCCCCGCCCACTGTTCAGGTAGCCCCGCCCACTGTCCAGGTAGCCCCGCCCACTGTCCAGGTAGCCCCGCCCACTGTCCAGGTAGCCCCGCCCACTGTCCAGGTAGCCCCGCCCACTGTCCAGGTAGCCCCGCCCACTGTCCAGGTAGCCCCGCCCACTGTCCAGGTAGCCCCGCCCACTGTCCAGGTAGCCCCGCCCACTGTCCAGGTAGCTCCCGCCCACTGCCCCACTGCTCGTGCGTGAAGCCAGAAAATGTTCAACCCGGGGACAAAAATCCTCCATCTTTCAAAAACGCTTCACGGAGACACCGTGAGAGCCGTTCCCAAAAGCCACGGCACGGCACAGCACGAGAGAGGGCGCCCCCCGCGACGTTCCCGCATCACCTGCACCGCACCGGGACCCCGCCTCGAAGACGAACCCGCCCGGCACGGCGCCGTAGCGCCGCAGTTCCGGCAGGTTCCACCGCGCCAGCAGGCGGGGGGGCGCCCCCCTCGTGAGCGCGCACGTCTGGTTCACGCAGTGCAGGGTGCCGGGGCCCTCCTCCAGGCGGCTGCCGGGCGCCAGCGTCACCGCGAAGCTGTGCGCTGCTCGGAGGGTCGGAGGGTCGGAGGGTCGGAGGGGGGTGAGAAGCCGACGGATTTAGGAGTCGCGCGGGGAGAGGCTGACGGCACGGGGACTGAGCGGAGCTCGGGTTGCCCACCGGGTCTTGGATTTCCCGGCTGGTAGAGACTCCTGGGAAGTCTGAGTCTCACTGGGACATTAAACCCTTTCACGTCGTTCCGAGATGACTGCGAGTTGCAGGGGGGGGGGGGGGGGGGGTGCCCCGTTCACCGCTGAATCTCGGACCGTGCGGGCAGTTGGCGTCAATTTTTATTTAGAGAGACGTAGCAGCGCCGCTGTTTATAAAGACATCGTACTCACCGCAGAGAACTGTAGCGACACGACCGCCACTCTATGACAGCTGGCGCCAAAGTGTACCAGACGCCCTCCCACGTGGCCTTTAGGAATCCCCGGTACTGATGAAGCTATTTCATCTTAGCTTTTTCTTCCGGTTCCGTTCCGATGATGTACAAGTCCACGTACGTCATCGGAATAGGGGGGGAAGGGTTAGGAGTCCCGGTTTGACAAATGACGACACAAGTACCCAAGATGACTCAAGCACGCACTGCTGTCCCCTCTGCAGGTCACCGTCATCAGCCATGGTCAATCCGCTGCTGGACAAAGGCCTCCCCCAACACTGCCGCCACCTCTCACGATCCCACGCGGCACCAACTCACGCAGCAGCTGCACGCGAACGGATTCCTCCGCGGTAGACGCCCTCTCAGACGAGTTCCATTCCTTGCCCGCCACCCCCTCGTCATTCTTGACCGTCGAGCAATCATCCCTTCTATTGACGCCTTCTGCCCAAAGCCCACTCACTTGTCGACAGTTTCAATGCCCCATTGGAACCTCATTTGCCAGTAAAAAATATGATAATTGTTTTATTTACCCTTCTATCTGGCAACAAAACTGACACCTTTTTTACAAGGAGTCATGTTTGCATAGACCACAATACCTGCAGTCATAATGCAAAAAAAAACATAACTCTGATAATGTATGCACTGTCCTTGAAGTTGATTGGTCCACTCCCGAGACAGCTTTCCTTAGAGCCGAGTCTCACATGGGTCCAACCTATGTTTTTTGTTTGCATTATGACTGCAGGTATTGTGGTCTATGCAAACATAACTCCTTGTAAATAAGGTGTTAGTTTTGTTGCCAGATAGAAGGGTAAAAAAACAATTATCAGTTTCAATGCCGTCATTAACCCGTTGAGACGGTTCTACTTCGCGCGATGTATATAACCCCCCCCCCCATTTATCTTCTCATATCTCAAGCGAGTGGCAACGCTATCGGCGGGTAAACCACCCACAAAGACAAAGATCCCACCCCTAGTCTAAACAGACTGCTGGGGCAAGCGCTGTTAGTGAGCACCTATGAAGGCCGGTACAGCCTTCACGAAGGGGTGGGTGGCCAGCACCACGCCCGGCCGCCTTTGTCTCCCCAGTGGCGATGTTCACACCATCTACTTCGACGAGACCGAGTAGACTTAGGGGAGGCCCAAAACGGGTTCAGAAAATCGCCACCGGCGTTGACCGTGAGCGAGAATCGACCTCGGGTCGCCGGGTCCGTAGTCGTAGCGCGCCAACCGCCACGACTGCCGCTCCCCCACGCTGCCCCCCCCGCACCCCCCCCCCCCCCGAGCCGTCTCACCCTCTCCCAGGCTGTAGCGCAGCCGGGCGTCCCAGGCGCTCATGACGTCGCGACGCTCGAAGGCGAGCAGCAGGCAGAGCGAGGGGCAGCTGACGGCGAGGACGTGAGCGGCGCTGTGCAGCGTCAGCCCAGTGCTCACGGCGCACACATCCTGGAGGCGAGCGCAGGTCCGCGGCCGTGCGCCCTTGAGCCTCTCGGAGCGGCTCTTGAACGCGAGCAGCATCAGGCAGTCTGCGACGGCATCGCAGACGGGCGCCACCGCGGCGGTGAGATGTTAGGAAAAGATCAAACAAGTTGCGGCCGGCTGGTGGGCCAAATCATCTCGTGTCACGTTGAGCTGAGATGAGAAATAGAGCCGCCTGTGTGGAACAGCTGGTGGAGTCTCTGGCAGGTCATGTCACGGTGGCTAGGAGATGTTGACTACCTCGCCTGGTGTGCAGGAGGTCGTGGGTTCGATCCCGACCCTGACGCCTGCTGCTGTATATTTGGAGTTTGCGTGTCTCTCTTGCCGTAGTCGCAGGGATTTTTCTCCGGGTCCTCCGGTTTTTCCCTCCACATTTAGAATCAACATCACATTTAGCGAGCACCTATGAAGGCCGGCACGGCACACGAGGGGGTGGGTGGCCAACACCACGCCCGGCAGCCTTTGTCTCCCTAGCGGCGATGTTTACGCATCGCACTAGGTACTCATTTGAGGCTTAGTCGACCTAGGGGAGGCCCGGGACCGGTTCAGATAATCGTCACTGGTGTTGGCCGTGAGCGGGGAATTGAACCCGAGTCGCCAGGTTCGTAGCGCAGCGTAGCGCTAACCGCTACACTACCGCTCCCCACACACACAGACACACACACACAGACACTCCCACAACTCCCAGTTGCATCACTTTCCCCAGAGCATCGCTTGCTGGCATGCTGGGTGTTAATCAGCTTGGAGCAATTAAGGGGCCGCTCGTGGGCAATCTCTTAATGAGGCCCTCGATTCATCCCGTGCCTCCGGGTCTTCTGGCTGTGTCCGGTGCACGCTCGGGGGTGGGTGGGGAACATTCTGGGCATCGGCAGATATGAATACACGTGGGGAGTCACTGGAAAGTGTTGACCTGACGCACGGCGAGGGGGTCTTAGCTATGACCGGTGCTGCCGCAGTGCGATCTAATCCCGGGTGCCTGTGTGCGTGTGCGCGCCTGCGTGTGTCCGTGTGTTTGTGTGCATGTGTGTGCGTGGGGGGAGCGGTGGCGCAGTGGTTAGCGCGCCGTACCTCGGACCTGCTGACCCGAGTTCGATTCCTGCTCACGGTAAACACCAATGACGACTATCCGAACCGGTCCTCCCCTTGGTCGACTCAGCCTCAAATGAGAACGGTGGTGCGGTGTGTAAAGGTCAGCACCCAGGAGACAAAGGCGGTCGGGCGTGGTGCTGGCCACCCACCCCCACGTGTGCTGTGCCGGCCTTCATAGGTGCTACTCGCTAACAGCACTTGCCACGACCATCTGTTAAGGCTATAAGGGGGATTTTTGTATGCGAGAGAGTGTGGACGTATTAATTTGTCTGGCGTGTATCTCCGTGAGCAAGTCTGTGTGTATGCATGTACATGTACTGTTCGTCTGTATGTGTGTGTGTGTCGGATTCTGTGCGTGTCCGAGCATCAGCAGAAATGAATACACTGGGAGTCACTGGAAAATGTTGACCCGACACACAGCGAGGGGGTCTTAGTTTGACTGCCGCAGAGTGATCTAATACTGGGTGTCTGTGTCTGTACCTGTGTATGTACGTGTGTGTCAGTGTGTGCCTGTGTGTACGGGGAGCGGTGGCGCATTGTTTAGCGCGCCGCGCTACAAAACCGGCCGACCCGACTTCCCGAGTCCCGCTCACGACCGATAACAGTGGCTCATATTTGAACCTGTCCCGAGCCTCGCCTAGGTCGACTCAGCCTCAAATTAGTACCGGTACGGTGTCGCAATAGGGAGACAAATCCGGGCGGCCGTAGTGTTGGCCACCCACCCACTCATGTGCCGTGCCGGCCTTCACAGAGGTGCTCGCTAACGGCACTTGCCGAAAGAGTCCGTTAAGATTATACGGAGAATCGGAGAATCTTTGAATTAAATGGGGGGGGGGGGGTACCTGTCCAATGTAACCCTCCCCCCCCCCTCTCGAGCATCCACCCCTGCTTCATACCCCCCCCCCTCCGGCCTGGGGGACCCAGGTGCAGTTGCACCGCCTGCACACTCTTGATGGCCATGCCACTCCACCGCTTGTTTGTGTGTGTTTGTGTGTGTGTGTTTGTGTGTGTTTGTGTGTGTGTTTATGTGTGTTTGTGTGTGTGTGTTTGTGTGTGTGTGTTTGTGTGTGTGTGTGTGTTTGCGTGTTTGTGTGTTTGTGTGTGTGTGTGTGCGTGTGTGTGCGTTTGCGTGTGTGTGTTTGTGTCTTTATCTTTGTTTGTGTGTGTGTTTGTGTTTGTGTGTGTTGGTGTGTGTTTGTGTGTGTGTGTTTGTGTGTGTGTTTGTGTGTGTGTTGGTGTGTGTGTGTTTGTGTGTGTGTTTGTGTGTGTGTTTGTGTGTGTGTTTGTGTGTGTGTGCTTGTGTGTGTGTGTTTGTGTGTGTGTGTTTGTTTGTGTGTGTTTGTTTGTGTGTGTTGGTGTGTGTTTGTTTGTGTGTGTGTGTTTGTGTGTGTTTGCGTGTGTGTGTTTGTTAGCGTGTGTTTGTGTGTGTATGTTTGCGTGTGTGTCTCACCTGCTACAGGAGAAGGTTTGCTCAGCACCACCCATCGTGACTTCCACTACGCTCAGATGACAGACGAGGGACACAATTGCGCAGTCAGCACCAAGCGAACAGTGTACACAACATCCACACAAGATCAACACAACATGGATTTGGGTACAAATCACAGACCTTGTATTTACATACAGCACATGTACAAAGACACACACACACAGACAGACACACACAAACACACACACACAGACAGACACAAACACAGAAACAAACACACACACAAGCACAGACACAAACACACACACAAACACAAACAAACACACACACAAACACACACAAACACACGCACACAAACACACACAAACCCACGCACACAAACACACACAAACATACACACACACAAACATACACACACACAAACACACAAACACACGCACACAAACACACACCAACACACAAACACACACAAACATACACACACAAACACACACAAACACACAAACACAAGCACACGCACATCCATTGACAGAACTATTTTAACTCACACCCAGTCACTATACAATGGCATAACCAATCGGATATAGACACCCGTCAATATACATTCCTCTACACACACAACCACAAACTCATACATCCAGTTAAAATAAGATGCACAATCATTTACCCACACGTAGGCACACACACGCCAACGCCTGGCCAGACACCCACACACACAAACACCTACCTAGAGATACACACACACTACACACACAGACACTAAGACACACACACAAACACCTACCTAGAGATAAACACACACTACACACACAGACACTAAGACACACACACAAACACCTACCTAGAGATACACACACACTACACACACAGACACTAAGACACACACACACACAAACACCTACCTAGAGATACACACACACTACACACACAGACACTAAGACACACACACACACAAACACCTACCTAGAGATACACACACACTACACACACAGACGCTAAGACACACACACAAACACCTACCTAGAGATACACACTACACACAGACACTAAGACACACACACAAACACCTACCTAGAGATAAACACACACTACACACACAGACACTAAGACACACACACAAACACCTACCTAGAGATACACACACACTACACACACAGACACTAAGACACACACACACACAAACACCTACTTAGAGATACACACACACTATACACACATACACTAAGACACACACACACAAACACCTACCTAGAGATACACACACACTACACACAGACACTAATACACACACACTCCACACGTAGATACTAGGACAGACACCCACACACTACACACATAGACACGAATACACACACACAACACAGACTCTAAGACAAACACACACACACGCTACATACACACACACTACACACATGTGCCAGGCGAGGCAATCGCGAAACAGACCGGGTAGGTGGCATGGGTTGACCGACTGAGATGACTGACAGACTGAGATGACTGACAGACTGAGATGACCGGCAGACTAAGATGACTGACTGAGATGACTGGCAGACTGAGATGACTGAGATGACTGACTGAGATGACTGACAGACTGAGATGACTGACAGACTGAGATGACAGACTGAGATGACTGACAGACTGAGATGACTGAGATGACCGACAGACTGAGATGACTGACAGACTGAGATGAATGACAGACTGAGATGAATGACAGACTGAGATGACCGACTGAGATGACTGACAGACTGAGATGACTGACAGACTGAGATGACTGACAGACTGATATGACCGACAGACTGAGATGACTGACTGAGATGACTGACAGACTGAGATGACCGACTGAGATGACTGACAGACTGAGATGACTGACAGACTGAGATGACCGACAGACTAAGATGACGGACAGACTGAGATGACTGACTGAGATGACCGACAGACTGAGATGACTGACTGAGATGACTGACAGACTGAGATGACTGACTGAGATGACTGAGATGACTGACAGACTGAGATGACCGACAGACTGAGATGACTGACAGACTGAGATGACCGACAGACTGAGATGACTGACAGACTGAGATGACCGACAGACTGAGATGACTGACAGACTGAGATGACCGACAGACTGAGATGACTGACTGAGATGACTGACAGACTGAGATGACTGAGATGACTGACTGAGATGACTGACAGACTGAGATGACCGACAGACTGAGATGACTGACTGAGATGACTGAGATGACTGACTGACGGAGATGACTGACAGACTGAGATGACTGACAGAATGAGATGACAGACTGAGATGACTGACAGACTGAGATGACTGAGATGACCGATAGACTGAGATGACTGACAAACTGAGATGACTGACTGAGATGACTGACAGACTGAGATGACTGACAGACTGAGATGACTGACTGAGATGACTGACAGACTGAGATGACTGACTGAGATGACCGACAGACTGAGATGACTGACAGACTGAGATGACCGATAGACTGAGATGTTGAGACACATTCACATAGAAAGGCCCAGCGATACAAAGACAAAGATCGCCCCAATAGCCTTAGCAGCCTACTGGGGGCAAGTGCTGTTAGCGAGCAGCAACCTATGAAGGCCGGAACAGCACACGAGAGGGTGGGTGGCCTAACACCGCGCCCGGCCGCCTTTGTCTCCCCAGTGGCGATGTTTTAACACATAGCACTGGTTAACTCAATTGAGGCTGTGATACAAAGATACGCACAAGCACGCGCGCATATACACAGCAATCATTAACAGGCGACACGAACCAATAACACAACCCGATATACCCTGAACCAAAATAATCATTACTGTAGCCTACTGACATACACTATCAACGTTAGTCCAGACACACACACACGGTAAACATGTTTTTTTTTTTGTATGTTTAAATAAATGACTCGGAACACACAAACCCACCATCGTCACACAGGGCCACCACACACGCAGCTACAGGCAAATGGATATAGTAGAACATCACAAACACACAGCTACAGGCAAATGGATATAGTAGAACATCACAAACACACAGCTACAGGCAAATGGATATAGTAGAACATCACAAACACACAGCTACAGACAAATGGATATAGTAGAACATCACAAACACACAGCTACAGGCAAATGGATATAGTAGAACATCACAAACACACAGCGACAGGCAAATGGATATAGTAGAACAACACAAACACGCAGCTACAGGCAAATGGATATAGTAGAACATCACAAACACACAGCTACAGGCAAATTGATATAGTAGAACATCACAAACACATAGCTACAGGCAAATGGATATAGTAGAACATCACAAACACACAGCTACAGGCAAATGGATATAGTAGAACATCACAAACACACAGCGACAGGCAAATGGATATAGTAGAACAACACAAACACGCAGCTACAGGCAAATGGATATAGTAGAACATCACAAACACACAGCTACAGGCAAATTGATATAGTAGAACATCACAAACACATAGCTACAGGCAAATGGATATAGTAAAACATCACAAACACACAGCTACAGGCAAATGGATATAGTAGAACATCACAAACACACATCTACAGGCAAATGGATATAGTAGAACATCACAAACACATAGCTACAGGCAAATGGATATAGTAGAACATCACAAACACACAGCTACAGGCAAATAGATATAGTAGAACATCAAAAACACACAGCTACAGGCAAATGGATATAGTAGAACATCACAAACACACAGCTACAGGCAAATGAATATAGTAGAACATCACAAACACACAGCTACAGGCAAATGTATATAGTAGAACATCACAAACACACAGCTACAGGCAAATGGATATAGTAGAACATCACAAACACACAGCTACAGGCAAATGTATATTCAGTAGAACACCACAAATATACACACATGCCACCAGTACACACAGCAATCAGCGCTCTGTGCTGTTCACGATGTTACCACCGATGATGACGATGATGACAATTGATCCCGCTGCTGTTGATGATGTTACGTTGAACTTCTTTCGCACCGTACGTAGCCAACCGCGATCATCGGAGATGCGGGGGAAGGACAACAAACTAAACACAAAAAGCGGTGCTATTTTTTTTTGTCAACCTAGATGACGATTTAAAAGTGCCCAGCTCCAGTGGAACGAAGAACGTTCCAGACGGCCGCAGAAGCGCGTCTGCAAGCGCAGCGCAATGACCGCCGCGGTCTTTGTTCGATGTCTGAGCCAAAAATCCACTTCGATGCTGCTGACCCTGACGGTGATGTTGGTGACGATGTTGGTGGCGATGTTAGTTCTTAACGTGCACATAGCCTGGCACAAGCGCCCTGGTGTCGTCACCGCCACTCAGTGGCGAATGGCGTTTGTTGTTGTTGTTGTTCATGTCGGTGATGCTGCTGCTGGTGATGATGTTGGTCCATACCTTCTTGGTGTCTCTCACGCGGACAGGGCCCTCTGCGATGATCGGGTCCATTCCATCTCTCTGCCGCTACTCACTCACTCCCAAACGCCACCGAAAGCACTCGCCCACCCCTCCCTCCCGCCTGCCTGCTCCTTCCTATCTCATATCGGTCACAGCTCCTCCCACCCCCCCTCACCCCCTCACCCCAGCCCCCTCACCCCCTCACCCTAGCCCCCTCACCCCCTCACCACGACGCCAGTCTCACGCCCCACCCACCCACACCACCACCACCACCGCCGCTATCACCGCACGCGGAGACCCCCATTCCACGATCCATACTTCGCTCCCGACTCGATCCGGAAACAGCTGTTCACAGTTACTCTTTCTCTCGTCCCGCAACAGCGTTGTATTTTGGTGACAGCGCAAGAGGGTGGCGGCGGGGTGTGTAGAGAGAGGAGAGGGATGGTGGGAGGGATGGAGAGAGGGAGAGAGAGAGAGGGAGCGAGAGGTGGGGGTTTACATAAAGCAAAGTTATAAAAAAACATTTAAAAATTTACAATTACGAAATGATGAACGAAGCAAAGTGCCGACTACACCGAGCATCTTCTTGTTTCCACTGATCGTAATAAAAGAGGAAACAAGTATAACCTGTAAAAACAAAGTTTTTCACTATAAATCCTTTATATGCGTGGCGGCTAGAGTCCTCTCGTCCTCTGGCTTGAGATGGCTGCCACCTATGGGTCAGATGATTGCATGACAGCATTAAGCAATTGGTATTTAAATATAATATTTTTGTCCTAAAAAGTGTAACATTTTGGAAAATATTTTTCACGAACATTAATTGTCACGCACAACGAGTCTGTGTGGAAAATGTCAGCTCGATTGGATCACGGGAAGTGGGTTAAAAAACGACCGAAAGATTTGCACGGTCCTAAGCAAGCAAGCAAGTGAACTTAATATAAAGGATTTTTAAAAAAGGAGAGAGAGAGAGCGAGAGAGTGAGCGAGAGGTGGGGGTTTACATAAAGCAAAGTTATAAAAAAAATTACGAAATGATGAACGAAGCAAAGTGCCGACTACACCAAGCATCTTCTTGTTTCCACTGATCGCAACAGAGAGAGAGAGTGTAGGAGAGAGAGAGAGAGTTATTAACAACTCTGTTTAACCCAGGCAGGCAACACTTGAGACGTTTTCAGGGACGATCCTGCCAGGTTTTTTGTTTCCGCAATAGGGGGCGATATTGCTTCGTGTAAACCCACGGAGATAATTACAGGGTGTTTGAAAAAGATGGACCCGATTTGAAATCGCTATATCTCTGCCAACCACGAACCGCACGTGAATGAAACTCTTACTACTTGAAAGAGCGGGGCATGGAGTTTCAAATGATTACCGCTAGAATTTCTCTCCCAGCGCACAAACAGCCCCTAGCCTCAGTCATTCGCAAGACGGTGACCCCACAACACACAAGGGGCGTTTTGCGTTCTGCAGTTCAGCAAGACTGAATCCGTAATTGTGGTGCAGCGTGCGTTTCAACGGCGTTTTGGCATTGATCCGCCAATGTCAAAGAGCATTCGTCGTTGGTACCGACAATTTGAGGAAGCAGGCTGCTGTTGATGTAAGGGGAAGAGCACATGGCGACCATGCACCACAGAGGAAAACGTGAGAAGAGAAGCGTTTGGGACGAATTCAACAATCGTATACAGGTGTAGTTGTGTTGTTGTCCCCATCAGCATTGTATTATATGGACGTTGAACTTCTTTCGCACCGTGCGTTAGCCAACCACGCGGATCGGCGGTTGCGGTGGAAGGACAGCAAAAACCGAACACAAAAATCTGTTCTGAAGAAGTTCGTTTTCAATCTGGATGATTGAAAAGTGCATAGCTCCAGTGAGAAGAGCGTTCCAGACGGCCGCAGAAGCGCACGTGAAGGCGCCGCGTGATGACTGTCGCCTTTGTTCGATGGACCAACCAAAATCGTGTGACGATGGTTGACGAGATGAATCAGTTATTGCTAATGTTTGGCCGATACCAGTTACATTCGGTGTGTGTGTTTTGTGAGCGTGGTGGCATTGGTGGTGGTGTCCTTTGGAGAGAGACAGGACAGAGAATGTGAGTTCTCAATCATTCAAGAATACAACAGCGTGGGGAATATTGGTCTGGAATGTCAAAAGGCCGATGGGTTAAGAATAAAAAACGTGTTAAGGCACCGAACGGCTGGGGTTCTCTATGTGTGTGTGCTTTAAAAAAGTTACACCGCCACAGGTCACGACTATTATATATTTACAAATAATTGTAGACCGTATATGGAGACACCGTTAAGCGCGACCCTGTAGAATGGCTGATTGGTAATCGCGCTTTTTGTCTTGGATAATATTTTCCAACATTTTAAAAAAGAAAATCAAAACGTTCTTAACTTTTTTTTACCATCTGTAGTAGAAGTGTAGGACTTGAAATGACGCGCGTTTGATTGCGCTAATTAAGGGGTGAGGTCGTTAAGAGACGCCGCAGGTTTTAAGGGTAACTGAGGACGCAGGCCGGTGATTGGTCGAGAGAGTATGTGTCTACGAAAACAACATCACGTGACATCACGTGAGGCTGGGGGCCTGGGGGCGAGTAGCGAAGCGGGAGGTGACATAATTAATTGGGGCTGATTGGTTCGGGGATAAAGACAGAGCGTAGCGGAGAAATGGGAGTCTTTTGGGAGTGTTGGAGTCGGAGCTGGAGACGGTGCCTGGGACAGAGACGGAGCAAAAGAAAGTATAATATAAGGTAGCAGTGACTAAGAGTGTATAGTATAAGGTAGCAGTGGATAAGAAAGTATAGTATAAGGTAGCAGTGAATAAGAGTGTATAGTGTAAGGTAGCAGTGGATAAGAAAGTATAGTATAAGGTAGCAGTGAATAAGAGTGTATAGTATAAGGTAGCAGTGGATAAGAAAGTATAGTATAAGGTAGCAGTGAATAAGAGTGTATAGTGTAAGGTAGCAGTGGATAGTACAAGGTAGCAGTGGACAAAACAGAATACAGTATACGGTAGCAGTGGATATAGAGTACGGACAGAGTGGATATAGAGTACAGACAGAGTGGATATAGAGTACGGACAGAGTGGATATAGAGTACGGACAGAGTAGCAAGGACGGAGCGAGTACAGCATAGCGAGCAGCAGAGTAAGAGACCTGAGTGGAGAGAGAGAGAAAGAGCGAAGCGAAGCGGAGTGAGCGAACGGAGGAACATTGAACGATGCTGTCGGAGATGTGAACTATATGCGGAATAAAAGGAACGAGAAAGACAAAGAAGTTGTCGCGTCAGTAACAGTCCTACAGAAGTATTATTATCATTAGCGCTAGTATTTCCATCTCTGTTGTACAAATGCACGAGACTGAAGTACGTACTGCAGCGGTGCCCAACAATGGAATTGTGTTCAAACGCGTAGATCATTATTTTGGAGTGGGGAATTTAACTTGTACTTATTGTTCTGCGTTGGCAGTGGTGCAGAAGCATACGTCACACAAACAAACTCGGCGGAGAGACCGTCTCTCTGCTATAAAGAAGGTCCATTGCCAGAAACGTCGGCCTATTGCATCTTTTTTATTTACCCTTTCAGGATATGGGTATTTGCAAATGTGTTGGGTTTACCCATTTTCTGTGAGCTTCGATCCCAATTTAGATAGAAGAATGTCTCTGTATCAAATTATCGGAAGATGTTGTGCACAGTATAATCTATATTTAAACATCGTGGTTGTGGAAACGTTTTGATACTGGTAGGAACCTCCTGGTTACACCAGCCCACAGGGGATTATTGTGTCAGTCCGTCTGTCCGTCGTGCAGGGAGGGGCTGGGTGGGGAGGGGCTGGGTAGGGAGGGGAGGGTGGGGAGGGGCTGGGTGGGGAGGGTGGGGAGGGGCTGGGTGGGGAGGGGCTGGGTGGGAAGGGTGGGGCTGGGTGGGGGGTGGGAGGGGTGGGGCTGGGTGGGGAGGGGCTGGTCACCCCGTGGTGCCCTTATAAAACTCAACGTTTAACCTACTCACGCCGGCTTGTGCCCGCCCTCACAGTCGGGCATATTTGCGGAATAAACCACGCCGCCGTTGATCCTGGCCATTGACAGAGCAACCCAACGTTCCTACCAGCTCCCTCCGCAGGAATGTGTTTTAACGTACATTGATCTGAATAACAAAATCTATCCTAAATCCGTATTACAGTATTTGACTGTGGATGATGAGATGTGTCAATGTTCAAACTCGCCTCGTGGGGGCGCAATACACCCACGTTTCGTCGTCATCACGATCATCACGATCCTCAGCAGCAACCAGGATCGATCCACTGCTAGATGAAACCCACCCCAACCCATAGGGGGTGGGTTGGGGGAAGATATGTGACCGATCCCACCAGTGTTCACCATTTGTGATGCCGATTCACCACCCCCCGTATGCAATTACTCGTTGAGATTCGAAACGTGATGAGATCCTTCACGTGCATTGTTGACTTTCACTTTGTGTTATCACGTAATTTCATGTTGGAAAAAAGAAAAACAAGTTTTGCTGGCTGGTGGGCAAATCATCTCGTACCACGTTGATCTGAGACGAGAAACAGAGCCGCCTGTGTAGAACAGCTGTGACAGTTTCTGGCCGGCTCCGTCAAGGTGGCGAGATGTTAACTGCCTCGCCTGATATGCAGGAGGTCGTGGGTTCGATCCCGACCCTGACGCCTGCTGCTGTATATTTGGAGTTTGCGTGTCTCTCTTGCCGTAGTCGCGGGGATTTTTCTCCGGGTCCTCCGGTTTTTCCCTCCACATTTAGAATCAACATCACGCGTTCATAGTTTTTCACCATCCTAAATCAGCGTGCCAATTTAAAAACGTAGTAATAGGTTTTAACCCTTTCAACTGGTACAAAAACTGAAACCTTTATACAAGGGATCAATCAACTTCAAGTACAGTGCTTATCATTATCAGAGTTGTTTCTTTTTGTTTGCATTTTTAATGCTTGTGTTGTGGTTATTGCAAACATGATCCCTTGTATAAAGGTGTCAGTTTTTGTACCAGTTGAAAGGGTAAAAACCTATTACTATATTTTGCCACTGGTAAAGGAAGTCTCATAATTTAAAAACGGTTCATTAGAAAGAATAAATAAAAATTCTCATCGGTCTCCAAC